TCCGTGAAGCAACAAGCACTTTATAATCTTCCGACGTTAGCATCCAGCAACATATATTAAGCATTATATTCGAAACAGCAATTCGAAACAAATGTTGCGCCCAGACCGGATGAGTACGAATCATGGCCGAATCGCGGAAATTGAATTAATTTTATCTCAAAAAAAAAAATTAGCAAATTTATCTCACAGAAACAAAAAGCCTGCTACAAAAAGCAAGAGTAATGTGCATCAGATAGTAGTTCTCTTTCGTACCATCAATATAAGTAATATTTAGCATAACCATTGCAATGTTGCCTGCAAATGCTAACTTACCAGATAAAAAAGTTGTCGTCTCTATGAAGTGCCGATGCGTCGAGTCTGCTAATTTTTATACGTACATATCTGCATATATAAGCAATATTCGAATGAGCCTAAGGTGTTTAGTATTGACAGAGATGTCACTCAAATAAGCTGTATATGATACAAGGCAATATCGGTCCTTTGATAAGACTCCCCAGGTCATTGAAAGCACTCATAGCTTCTTATGCAGCACCCAATACCGGACTCATTGTCCGTCATCTAGTGAAACCATTGGCTTCTTTGAATGCTCATTACCTTCAAGTGTTCGACCTTTTTCATAAAATATCATCACAGCGTTAAGTTTACCTCCTAACCCAAAAGCATTGTGCCAAATTTCGGAAGAGATTTTTACTATTCGAAAGGACTTCCCGTTGATGCACAATATTTTTATAGCTATCGAAATTAAGCATTTTAAACCAATTGAGAGGATAAGACTAATGCTCAGGTTGCATATATATATATATATATATATATATATATATATAGATATATATAACACAGATGTCAAGCGTATCAGCATCTGCTCTAGCAAACAAAATCTAAGTGTGTCATATAGGTATTTCATCGGCGGAGTTCCAAGAAGCGACCTCTGAGCAGTCCCACATTTGATACAAGACACATAGCACAAAACGACAACAAATGACCTAAATACTGGGTTGTCCACAGTTATGTGACAGAAGTGAGCTATGTGCAAAATATTTTAATTTACTTCAGTAACTAAGCCAGATTTTTATTCTTTCACGCAGAGTCTCTTAACGAACTTGAAATAATCAAAATGTAAAAATAGCCCATGAACGTGAAAAATTTGTCTAAACATTCACCTGCCAATGAATATATAATATCCGGCCTAACCATTCATATAAAAGTTTGATGCTTCTTCCAGCGCGTGATAGAGAGCATAGCTTCTAAGCTATATCTTCCTCGGAAGCTATAAGTCTCCATTTTCATAAATATGGAGGGCACGTTTAAGTTACAAGAAGGTCGGGTTGCCGATAGAGAAGGAGGCAGCTGGTGCAAAAAAAGAACAATGCAAAAAAGGTCAGAACGCAGATGTGGCCTAAGAGTTTTGCATTACAGATCGTCGTATTCTCCGATTTATCTACGAACAAACTTCTTACTTGGCCACATAAAAATGGCTTCAGCGAATCTTGCCACTTTTTGCCACTCATTCCAGTCGACTGTCCGTGACACCGCCCCCGAAGGTCATCATTTACCCTAAAAACGTTTTGCGTAGCTACATATCGACTATTTAAGTACTATTACATAGGGCTAGGTTCAACGAGGGAAGCTTTATGGACGCGTGCGTTTTGACAAACTAGCTTGCAGAGAAAAGGCTGAAACCCATGCATCACACCACGAAATTAATGAAAGGCTCTAACACTTTCAGAAAGCCAACCAAACGTCAACACATCTACACCCAAAAAAAACCTACTGATATACATGATGAACCTTTATTTGATTATAGCCTCTTAAGCTAATTTATGAGTTTATACTTTAATGAATAGAATTTTGTTAATATATAAGGTTTCATAATTACTAAAATAAGATAATTTTTTATACCTCAAATGTATCCATCATATTGAGTAATTATTCACAATTTTTTAAAATAAATTATTTTATACTAGTTATTTATTATTCTTTTTTATAACAAGATATAGTATTAAATTTATTTTCTATTTTTGACCCTAGAACTTCATATTATGTAAGAAGAAACTGGATTTCAATATACTTAATTTATTTACTTACTTTATCCTGAAAAATAAAATCACAAATTATATTTCTATGTTCTAAAGTAATAAGTTTATTAATAAAAGAAATTATAGTAAATTTTTCTAATACAAATAAATGGTTAATTATTTTATTTATTAGAAACACCTTACGATAAAAATATTCTTTTAAGTTAAAACTGATTGAGTAATCCGAAGTTCCTATTTGTAATATGTAGGCGTAACTGAAAACGAAGCTCCTTAATTTTCCGGCAGACTTTTTAAAACCCACAACAGGCATTCTTGCTATGTTACCATCGAAAGATTCTACGTAAAAAAATTATATATATGTATATTCTTGGTATCCTGAAATAATAGGTGGCTTCTTATTAGCTAATGAAATGCCTTCATCGATCTTAGGGAACTCGGTCGGTAATATATTTTGCCTATTTTTCTATTCCTCAAGGAAATCCGCAAGTTATTCGTTAGAAGCTGCGCTTACTTCAGTTTGATCAGAGTTTTATAGGTTGGAATTGGTTTTAATATTTAATTACAACTGAATAGGTTGTAATAAACAATTACAATTTACCTTAAGTTGAATCAAGTTAAGGGCGCGTAGTCCGACAACGGCCTAATTAAAAAGTATGATTATCGATTCCGTTATGACAAATAAAAAACCAAGAAATATGCTACAAATATGACACTTCATTTAGGATTACTTTGGTTACTTACAAGTAAAGCTAATAAAAAAAAACTTTATTGCACGAAATAAACGTTTTATTAGGCCGGCTGAAAGATTAAATAAGGCGTATCCCTTAACATCTAAGGACAGCAAAGTCTACTGCGCTGAGCTGGCTCATTTTTTTAAATTTCGTTAAAGGTGCGTGCGTTTCTCCAGACTAAATGAAACTTATATTTTGCTCAAAAATAATTAATTGTAAGTACGATTGATTGCAAAAATCGTTTCAACTTCATTCACCTGTATTTCAACATATTCCGTAACTGTTAAGCGAATAAATCTACATAGGCGACGATCAATTAGGTCTTTACCTCGTATAACATTTATACTGGCAATAAGTGTTGTTTTTGTTTTCTGGTAGCTAACATTTTTGAACATATTAAAGCTTTTTAATTGTTGCACATATACTTTCCCTTTGCACCCACAAGAGGAACTGCATTATATCGCAATATCTTTAGTTGCTGATTGCCCCCTCTTCGTTAGAAAACGGTAGCGCTTTGCAAATTGTTCAGTCTATCGGTTTTTAAAATATAACGGTAAGGCTATGCTATAACCTTACCACTTAATCAACTAGCTATGTATATAACCATTCTGATTTCAATGCAGATGCAACATGCTGGAGTTAGCGTCTGCTAATGCTTAACGCCAGTACCGGAGGTATGAACTCTACACGCCTATTTATGTAGATGGGACAAAGTTACTTAAGAAAGCTTGACACAATAAGACACAAGAGCATTGTGTGTGGTAGATGTTTCCCGTAGTGCTGGGTGAACCTATTGGTAATTTTACCTATGGGTACGTAAACGTCTAGGTTCAAATCTGGACTGAGAGAGATTTTGTTTCAAGCTCGGAGCCTGTCGTCTTAGGAAATCGTTAATGGTTGAAGTATTCATGTAAAATACGGAGGATAGAATATGCTTAGTGAATTAAAACCTTCAGAAACGTGTAAGCGTGTAACTGGTTTAATACGTTCGTTTCGTGTCATTGTCTAACTTTGCCTGTTGTTGAAAAAATTAAATACCTAGGCGCAGTGATCATTGAGGTAATTTATTTCATCCATCGATTTACATATCTTCCATGCTTATTACGTCTCAAATTTTACGCCATCAAACACGGCTATTTACTCTTAAATGCTTTCACCAGTTATGTGACGGCGAACATTGAAAGTTGTAGAACTTCTTTAATAGCGACTTTAATAGTTTTTTGATAGAACTGTTAATAATTATTTTCTAATCTTTCAATTTCGAAATATTCGTTCTGCAATTCTTTGTATTTAAGAAGGAAAAAAACTAAACAAATTTTATACTATTAGCTTCGAAAACATTATCATGATCAATTAATCACATGTAATATGACTTTTTCAGCATATTACGATTCTCTTCGACACGTCTTTTAAGCTGAATCGTTGAAAATATCAATTAGTATAGTTAATTTCAACAATGATAGCCGTGAGATGGCTATATAAGAACACTAGCTCTAAGAAGCTGTGCGTTGTTAGTTTTATACGTTATTTCTGTACTGTACAGAAGTCAGTAGTTTTGGCTAGTATCTGGCTAGTAAAAAAAATTAATTAACGCATTCCGGTATCATGGAATTAAGACGTTTGAGGTTTAGTGTGGAGGTGTCTCTAGAGATGTAGTTTGAGCTAAATTCTCTTGCGTCATCGCGATTACTCATCTCTGACATCAGGGTGGTTATCGAGAGCGTTATCAACGATTTGACAACCACAGTACGAAAGATTCGCCAGTTACCGATATACAACTCTGTAGCAGCAACACAGTGATACCTAAAGGGAGAACACTATTACGTAGTGCCAATATATCCTTGTATTATAATGGACCGGGATTTTAGTAACTCCAAATAAAACTACGCAACGTTAGTTCGATATCAATCGAAATAATTTATTGGCTCATATTCAAGATGATTTAGCACTACGCTATGTTATTACTGATCCTTGGCGTATCAGCAAAGATTAAAAAGTATCAATGCATTTCTTTTAGATACAAAGTCTGTAATTTCCTTTTTCTAATACTGGCTATAAAACCTTCGACGTAAACACTAAGTGCAGGATTCTGCGAGTAATAACGAACAATAAAACAACTTTCTATTTAAACGTTACCTAATTCTTACATTAGTAAACCCTACTAAATGCGTACAATCAATATGATCTTCTTGCATATGGAATAAAATATTATGTAATTTATTTTTGTTTTTAATAATAACGTCTCCGTTTTATTTATTTTTCTCTTAGCATATACAGCTCTTTCATTGTATATATGTAACTAGTCCGTTGAAAGGAAAAACGTATGAACGAACATTTATTTTTCATTACGCCTTCCCTAATTCCAACTAGATGAAGATCAGTTTTCTCCTGTCGGCTCATTTAACAACAATTTCTGTTTAAATGTCCAGTAAGGTGATCTTGGAATATCCTCTGTCCTCAGAATGGACACAATTTCTAGAGCCTCTTTTTTCATTTCAGCTTTCTCATATATAGACAGCAGTGTAGCGTATAAATAAATATTATGAATTCCGTCCGCTCGCATTTGCTCGCATTTTTTTCGTAGTTTTTCTTGTTGAGATTCATCAGCGTGCGCTAGGATTCCTCCAAGATAGTTCCACGCGCTTTCGTTACAAGACACCTGTTACGAAACCGAAAAAAAAAAGCAAATATGCTCTAAACACTAAATATCTATTAATTACAAATAGAGATACACGGCAAGCACACATTGGGCGTTAATTTAACTCGTACTTTTTCCGATAACCATACCGAGCTATATCTATTATGCCACAGGCAGCCTTTTCGGGCGTCTCTGCTAATGAATATCTGCTACATATATGTATATTATATACCGTGACTGTACAAGGAGGTCTCTCATAGCATTTGCTTTGGTTTATACTCGGATATTTCAATTTTATTGATTACGTAGATCCCTTTAACCAAACAATTTTTTGCTATCTGCGAATTTGAACTGGGTTTGTTAAATGAAAAAAAAGTGATAGGCAATAATGTTGTAGGCACGCCACCTACAGTAGCGTATTGTACATCCTTAACCTCTATGTGTCGAGTTTTATGTCCGGTGTTGCCGTTAAGCATTTCATCAGGCTGGTTCCCAGAAACTAAGCGTATTTATGCTAAAGTTCGAATTTAGACCACAACGTGTTCCTAATGTTAACAGATACGTTACCCACTAAACTATCATGGGACCTGCACCTGCTTAGCAGTAATGGTTTTATAGTTTGACGAAAAAATATCACCGAATTTCTCATACGATATTAAGACATAAAATCTAAATATACTAGGCTCTGAAATGAGGTACATCGATTTTACTAAAAAGTAAAGTTACCTGAGAAATTTTGTCTAGCGTAAACTTAATTTCTTCCTCTACAACGGGACGAAGGAAACCAGTAGTATTTTTCAAGACGAAATAACTGAAAGGCGGAATAAATGTCTATTAAGTTTTCAATTGTAGTGTAACGGTAAAGTTTAGAAACAGGCTTTAATAATACCATCAGCATGTCTGACTTGGATAAATCTGAAAATGCAGGCCACTTTGAATAAGACTGTTTGCTGATATCAAAGAAATTATGTAAGGTAAAAACTCACCATTTGTTTAACATCGTCTCTAGATCGAATATTGCCGGGAGTGGCAACAAATAATAACTATATTTCCTAAGGGAGTTCAGGCATCTAGTCTTACAGGACTTCTCTATGTATTGGTCTAATGTATCAGATACCAAACCGCTGCGTTTTCTTCTAAGCTTTTGGGTTTTTGGGATCTCCAAAAAAAATGCGTTTCCATATCATAATGTATTTGCTCACTGTACCCCGTAAAGTTTTAACCATCTATAATCTGGCATTTATAGTAGGCGAAGAATATGTTATTAAAAAACTTATAAATCTCATGTTCTCCATTATTTGAATAAACACAAGCTTTTCCTACTTTAGTTTTAGAAATCTCAACCATTCCTGCGAAGTCAGTTATTTAGGAAAACCTTGTAGTTATATTTTTTGCAGTTGACATTTTGTGTATTAATACGATGATCTCATACTCAAATATAACGAAAAAATCAGTACATTAAATGGTAACGAAACTTATTTTAGTGGAATTTTAAGGTGGTTCATGTTACTTCTAGTAGACTTGCACATTTCAGTACTAAACCAGACACATGGAATATACGAAAGCTAGTTTTAATCTATAGACTTCGCAAAGGAGAATTCCATTAAAGTTTGTACAAAAAAGAAATATACCTACTTATTAGCGAACGATCGAAGTCAAGTTGAAGGTGTAGTCTAGCGTGCATCAAGCGCTTTATTATATCTGCCATGCCCCGCTAGTTATACTTACCGTTGATTCCAGGCGGAATTATTTCTAATATCTTCGTTAAGCATTGACGAACAAAAATTTAACTCCTTGCTCCAAAGGTTGAATGTCTTGAGCAACCATTGACGATATTGCCATGCATGGTAGTTTTTTGCGTCTTCGCTAAGTACGCGTTCGATAAAATCGAGTTCACCTTTTGGATCATTGCGAAGCTGTACGAGCCTCTGGCGATGATACCTGGAGGGGCAGGCGTACATGTCAATAGTAAAATACAACGATTACATAATTGTTTTTTCAAATTCTTAAGCTAGAAGGACGAACAGAAGATCTGTATATTCAGGTATTTTTATATTCTGTACAATTGTAAGCTGCAGAATCTCTTATCCATATATATTTACCTTCATTTATTTAGCAAACATTGTTTTAAGACAACTACAATTATCATAGCCAAGAGCCATTGTCTATATCATTATGTAAACTATTACTAGTTGAGATTGTACACTTCAAGACAGATGGACGTGTGTTTTTGGTTAAGAAATGTTGACAGTGGAAGAGAGTACATACCAAACCTGATAGTTTTTTTGGTTATCGAAAATCTGCCGACTCATAAACTCCATTTCTTCGTTAAGGTCTTTTTTCAGGTGCTCGAGTAACCTTCGTCGCAGTACCCATACAGTGTAGCATGCGGGATTCTCATCTGCACAGGTCGTGGTTAACTGAAATAATTAGCTAAATTATTACCAAGGTAGAAATACAACGATCAATTGTCCAAGGAATCATCAGTTTTATGGTTTAAGAACTAAAACCATTATTTTCAGGGGGTACAATGAATCGAAAAAGTGCTTAATTTTGTTACCCTTTTTATTGAATGATCGGGTGACCCCAGGGGTCGTTGCTTCACGTCCCACCAATAATGCATAAATACCACACAGTTTGTGAACTTAATTTGCTTGCATGATGTTTTATTAAGCTGATTATAAGAGGCTGGATTAAAGCATTATGTTTTAATGAAACACTACTTGAAGCTGTTATTCACCTCGAAGACTCGCTCGCTGAGTTCGCCGCTCTTGATGACCGCACGAAGATAGCCAAAACAGTCCCGAAACGTATTCGTATAAGAGATTTTTAATACATCATCTGATTGCTGATCTAAATCCTCGGGCGTCACATCTTGCCACTCCGGTCGTTCACGATATAGTTTTCTGGCGGAAGTTTCCGTTGAAACTGAACTTTCCGATCTTTCAGACATGTTGACCCAACCATCAACTGTGATTGTTCTTCAGTTAGAATCGCTATCTAGCGAGGGAAAAGGCAGAACTTAAAAACTTGTTCCAATAGATGAATTTTATTGTAATATTAGGTATGTGTTCTTAAAAAATAGGTAGCCTCCGTTTCCGAAGCATCCCAAAACCGACATATCAACGCGTCAATATAATAAAAGTTCACCAGTAAATGATACATTAGAATCTTTATGAATTTCTGCATATTAAATATTTTAGTACAATTTTTTTTAGTGTGGTTATCGAAGACCAAATATTTTAGATCTGGAAATTGTTGCAGTAAACGAAGTCTATAAATTTGTAATGGATGCTATAGACACATATATTGCTGTTGTGTTTTTCCAAAATATTGCCGAACAGTTTTCGAAAGAAAAGAGGGCAATTTACTACGCAGGTTTCTTTCGTTGAGACATTTCACACTTCTGGTGTAAACAATTATTCAGAAAGGTTTGTATATTCTCTCTTTAACATAACAACCGGATAAGATTTATAATATAATAATAATATAAGCATCAATATAAATGAATCCGTTGGGCAAATTATTTTAAATTGTTGTCAATATCTATATCACACATTGGAAGAACTGACGTAAGAGAATAATAAATTTATCAGGCTACCATGATTCATTTTCACTCGAATAAAATTAGTAAAAATATTTTTTTGTCGGTGACCGGTACATAATAACTCGGTCTTTAAGATAAACCGCTATACAATCTCGATTGATAAAAAATAACCATGTACTCTCACATACAAGCAGCTACTTCGTTGTTGAAATTTACCTTTACTCGCTAGTAAGAAAGTCGGTAATTTAGATTTCAACTAATTTCCACTTCCTCTGTTGTTTACGTCATTCGTGCGCAATGTGAGGCGGGTCTGTTGCACAGTCGCTCGCTTGTTCTAAAGTCGAATACCAGACAGTGCATAAATCACAGAAGTGTCGATATAGGTGGTGGCAGCTGCCTTGCAAACTTACTTAACACCAAGAACGTGCGGCCACTTTTTTCACTGTAGTAACAGAGGAAATATTGACGCGTGAAAATACAATATTATTGTTATGCCTAAAACGTGAGAAGTGCATTACTGCGAAATGGTGTCCAGGCTAAATGCAAACCCAGGCATCTTGAAACTTTTTCTAAATGAATTGTTACGATTATTTTAAATGATATAGTTCTCAATCGATTAGATGCAATTTTGGCTTAATAATAAACTAAGCAGACTCTCAACTATTTCAGGATTTCAACTGTAAGCCTATTTTTCGTAAGGGTGTAGCTTCTTTTGTCTTCTCCGTTTTCTTCTACATTATACCCTGAATGCTAATCTAAATGTAAACTGTTTTCCTTAGAAAAAATCAGTTGAAAAATATTTCAGACAATTTACGGATTCAACGTACTGTTTCGAGGTTAAAATTCGCCGCTTCGATTTTAATGTTTTTATTACCAATTACTTCTAAAAAGCTTGTCGTGACCATTTCTTTACGAACTCTGTATTATTCATAAAATTGATTACCTAAGAATATTATACACGTCTAACTTTGCACTCTCGTTAACAAAATGGAGCTGGTTTAGTTCAATTATTCGAAAACCTTTCTTTATAAGAACGGGTTCTACCCAAGGTGATTACTGTGAAGCTCTTATGCTTAATGCAATGCAATATTTAGAATGCTTAAGAAATGCAATATTTAGAAAAAGGATGTAAATTGTCTGAGGCAAACGAAATACTATTGAAAAACTTGGGGTTATTCTATTGATCCAAACTTCTTTGAACTACTTGCTTGATATCCGCGTTTATTTCCCAGATATTTAACATGGCAGAAAGTTTTGCTTCAAAGTCCCATTAATTGTTCCTATTTGGAACAGTTCGCTATGACGCTAACTCTATGTCAATCCAAATAATTTCTATGCTTGTGCCGTAATGAGGCGCGCAGTGGCTAACGTGGAACCTACGCACCTACAACTATGCAACTAGTGAAGACAAATAACAATGCAAAACACGCCATGTTGCTTTATAATATTAACCAATGATAAATACATGTTTATTAAGTAGCCTAGATATCGTGGTTGTTTCTTCCTGTTGTCAATATACAGTTACATAGTGATAATATTGTTAATACTATTACTTATAATATGTTATTGGTTGTAGTTTTATTTTCATTCATA